TCTCATTCAAATAATGTTCCATCAATTGGAGGCAGAGTGATCAACATAAGGTCTTTGTCCTTCTGCAACATGAAAATTGAACCTTGGATATAGAAATCTAACTAGAAGTCTGATTCCAGAACTTATGTCACCAAGAGTAGTCATAAGAAGCTTAAATGTTTATACACCAGAGATTTGATGAATTTCTGCTTTCAGCAATGAGACGCAGATCTTTATAAACGATTCAGCACACAAAGTACAAGTTTGTTTTAAGTTCTAGGCATGTAAGCCCAGTGCTTTCTATCTGACACACTCGTTAGGAACTGCTTAAATGTTATCAATGAAAAAAAGCTGTCATGGATCTACCAATTTGTCACATATGTCAAGTCTAAGTGTAACCTAGACCAACCCTCAAATCTGCTCCCAAGTTTGGGAGCTCTAAGCCAAGTCGATGAATAAAAGTATAAAATATATTAGAAGCAAGCACACAACCAATTATTGAAAATGCAAACTTTGCTTTACAATTATTATGCAAAATGGCACAAACATTTTAAGGAAGATAATCATTGATCAAACTAAGTATGTTTTTCACTACTGCTGGACAGCCAATCTTGACTACATCTTGTCATAAGTTTGAATTGAATGTACAAGTAAACACTGCATTACAAAAACACAGACAATAGAGAATATTTGGCATAATTTTTTTTTAATAAAGAAGGATAGCCCGAAATAACAGAAAACTCAAGACGAAAGGAGAGCTGAGAGGCAGTAACAGAAGCTTGTGTGCATCTGGAATGCACAACTTTGAGTCATTCAGTCACCTACTTAAAGAATTTGGTAGGGCTTATTATTTCTATCAGAAGTTGTGTGCTCATTTGTATTTCTGTATTTCATTAAATATATAAAGCTGATCTCTGGCATTCAAATTAAAACACAAATTTGCCTATATTTTTGGATAAGCACACATTCAAGGAGTGAAAATGCGGATAATGTTAAATGCATAGAGTAAAAGAGTAGTAGAATCAAAGATTCAGCATATGCTGAAATTTAAACAAAAGATGAAATGATGCAGCCAAAATCAATTTTAGAGAATTTCTGTAAGTTTCATTAGAAAAAATTGGATGTGAGTAAGAAGAAAAATATCATTCGTAGGTTTGGTTCCAAATGAATGATAGCCCTTATGGCTAGTGATCTGCCTATTTCCACAGAAAGTCTGTGAAAAATCAACCAAGGAGTCGATTGCAGGATCTTTCTGCAGTAACATTCCTGACATGGATTCTGGTCCTTTATGCTGAGCTATTTTGCACTATTTGGGTCAAATACCCAGCTCAATTTGTATTTTCCTCCTTCTTTCAAGAGGTTACTTTGAAAGGAATCATTCATGCATTTAACAAATGGTTCTCACGTACATATAAAATATCTGTTACATTAGGTTATAAAAGCAAATATTTACTACTGATTTGATTTAGAATGGGGATTTGTGTTAATTTAAAAATATTTTCTCTATAACATGACTTGTAAGTTTCCAAATGCAATAAGGTTAACTGGTGAAGCTGAAAAATGCATCATTACTGAACGAGAACCAATGCAAAGGCAAGTATCATATCTGATTGTCAATCTTCCAAAATAAACTGATGCCAAATGAAGCAGAGAAAGGAAAATCCTAAGGCTGAGTGAGAATCAATAAATGAAATGAAGCATATCATTCAATGCACAAGTCACAGACCCTCAGCTGTATATTTGCAGGTTTATTACCTAGTTGATCAGAAGAAAGGGCAAAGAACTAAAATATAACAAGCAATTGAACTGTAAATTGTATTTTCTATGCATTATTGATTGCTATGATAATTAATTATATAAAGTGAACCAAACAAGATCAATATTGCACGAATAGAATTAAAAACTTTGTTAATTGCTTGTCTTATACATACATAGGCTCATTCCTCTGGGCTCAAGTGATGGATTGGAGGAAGGGGCAAAGCATACAGAATTTGAAATGAAAGCAGAAGGCACCTGAGAAACTCTATAGGTCTGGCGGCACCCATTGACAGAGAAACAGAGTTAACGTTTCAAGTCCACTATAATTCTTCTTCGTAACGCAAAGGAATTATGATAAAAGAGTCATAAGCATTAACTCTTAGTCTCAGTCTGAGATTTTGTTTTCTTTATTTCAGTTTTCCAGAATCTGCAGTATTTTGATTTCACTTAAAGAATTTGATTTTGGTGAGTGCATATCATTTATTATTTCAGCCATAATTAGACTTCCCACTTAATTAATAATGTTGCAGAGAAATAATCAATCAAGTTAGGTTTTTAATTACTTAAAATAGTGTCAAACATTTCCTGCTCCAGATTTTTGCAATATTCCATGTCGCAGTGTTATTTGGGATTGAAACATTTCATTTGCAATCCTACCTATCAAATCTAAATATTCTGGCTGAAATGGATTCACACTGGAACTTGAAGCAGCTGGTTTACTCTTAATTATTTCCAGCACTTGGATAAATATTAAGGTACAGTGGTGAGAGCTTCTTGAACAATATTGGTCCATAATTAATTTAGCACTATTCTGATGGGTGCGGGTGAGCTAACTGCACATTTTCAATCATAATACATTTGGGAAGCATTAAAAGATAATTCTTTTCCAAATTCTGCAAATAATATTCATCATGTATCAGATTTAGAGCAAGGAGAAAATGTTGGTCACTCCTAACTATATAAATCAGTCAATATAATAGTTCCAATTTACAACAATACTGAATGAAAACTAAAAGAACTGTGGATGCTGTAAATCAGGAACAAAAACAGAAGTTGCTGGAAAAGCTCAGCAGGTCCGGCAGCATCTGTGAAGAAAAGATCGGAGTTAATGTTTTGGGTCCGGTGACCCTTCCTCAGAACTGAGGAAGAGTTCTGAGGAAGGGTCACCGGACCTGAAACGTTAACTCTGATCTTTTCGTCACAGATGCTGCCAGACCTGCGGAGCTTTTCCAGCAACTTTGTTTTTGTACAACAATACTGAGTTTGATTTTAAAAAGAAGTCTGCATTTATTACAGTTGTATGGGAATAGAAGAGAAGGGAAATGGTATTCTATGGAGCTACTGTAATCATGGTTGGGCTTGGTTCTCCTTAGTCCCTCTTGGCATTTTAAATCTTAGTATTATCTAGTTATATTTCCAACTAAAAGTGCTCACAACTGGTCTCTTTACCATGTACTTTAATACAGCAACCTCTTTTTGTATAGCACAGTAAATGCCCCCAAGGTGTTTTGCAGGAGCATTATGATGCAACCTTAATTCCAAATATGGATATACAAGGTCAAATAACTTAAAGTTTGGCTAAAGCAGTAGATTTTAAGGAACATCTCAAAAAATGAATAAGAAAAAGGCAGAAACATAAAAAGGGTATTTCAGGAGTTCTGCCGAAGCAGCTGACGGCTCAATGATCAATGGTAGAGTTATAAAAATTGGGGATTTAGAATTACGAATTAGAAATTCACCGACTTATGAGCATTGCAGGGCTGGAGGGGTTTACAGATTATGCAGGGGCAAGACTCCGGTGGGATTTGAAAGCAAGCATGAGAATTGCTTGATTAAAGAGGCATTGCTTAACTGGATGAATGGAACTGGGAGTGAGTTAGAACATAGACAGCAGAGGTTTGGATCACCTCAGGTTAATAAAGGGTAGAAAATGGGAGGCAAGGAAGGAACGTGTTGGAAGAGTCAAGTCAAGTGTTGAATTTGAAAATAAAGATTCTCCTAATTAAGACAGTGATGTGGAGGGATTTTTTTTCTCCCAGAAGTTCACAAAGACCAGTGGAGACTGAGTCCTTAAATATGCTCAAGCAGAGTCAGACAGATTATGGATCAACAAGGGACGGAAAAGTTATTGGGAGGGTAGGTGGTGGTGGATAGCGGGGTGGAGGGGTTGGGGCTCAGGCTGGTAATTGAAGTTATTTCATGTGTTCATATTTTGAATTTATATTTTTCCCAGAAAAGCTTAAACCAGTCAGGGAACAAGGAAGAGTCTGGAATGCCATGTAAAATAAAATATAATTATGTTTCATCCTTAGATTATCATTTATTGTTGATTAAGTTAACTGGTGCAGACACAGTGGGCTGAATGACCTTCTGCATTGTAATAATTCTGTGTTTCTGTGAGTTAAGGCCACAATCGGATCAGCCATGATCTTATTGAATAGTGGAACAGGCTTCAGAAGTCTTCGTCTGCTAATCCTGCTCTTAATTCTTTATGAATTGATTAATGGATAGCTGAGGGTTTCAGTAGAATTTGCACTAAGGCACAGGAAGAACTGGGTGATAGTACAATTTGGGAAATAAGCATTCTTTGGGATGTCAATGGGTAGTGGTTGGAAAAACACATACAGGACAAACATTTCACACTGAGCCCTAAATCTTTTTGGAAGCATAAAACACATTAATTACATTTGCTGTAGCATTTTGAATGAATGGTTTTCTGAAATAAGAAACCGGCTGATGCTTTCTCTATAAAGGCTAACTTTAAATCCTGTACAGAGAGCAAACAGATAACAAAGAAACAGAGCAGTTTTGTCTGAAAGATAATCCACCCACTACCCATGAGATTGCGAGCATGAGTACAATGAGCAGACATCAGTTATATTGTTCATTGCTTTTGAAAAGACAAAAAAATGCCATAAGCAAGTTACACCAGCTACAACAAAATGAGGGAATCCCACCACCATTAAGAAAATACAACATTCAACTGGCATGTCACATCTAAAGCTCTTTGTGAATCTCAGCACAACCCAGATATTTGGATATCTGTGCATTAGCATCAAACAAATCTTTTCAATTATAGCAAAAACGTTTGAAATAAACATTGACTTCAGAGTTCAGGAAGAAAGAAGATTAATTCTCCTCAGTCAGGATTGCACTGATTTCAGAGGTCTGTGGAGTTATTTTAAGTCTATTTCTAAAGAGTACAGCATCATAGGCATTCCAAGCAATTGGGTGAAAGAATGTAGACTAAGATTCTTGCTTACCTGGGTCTTCAAATTCCATAGGCATGTCCACAATTAGTCGGTCACTGTACTTTCCGCGCAAACCATCGGAGCATATAGCAACCACTTGGACAACATAACTTGTGTTTGGCAATAAATTTCTGAGAATGGCTCCCTGAAACAAGAGAGGTAAATATCAGGTTAGAATGATAGGGTTTGAGGTTGATATTTTAGCTTCATTTCCCAATGTTGCTCTTTTTATTGACCATTGATCAGAGTCTAAAAAAGTTATTGCGATGTCTGACATTCTGAGCTGTACTTTACCATGTCTTGATCCCCATCTGTCAGGAACTGGTGTTTGGTCTGGTCTTCTCCATCCAATTGCTGATGGAACACTGCATATCTCTCCAGGACAGCACTATAAACCACTCTCGGTCTTTGCCACAGAACAAGTAAAGAGGCATTATACCTTGGGTCGGCTTGGAGACCTTCAGGTTCTGAGCTGCAAACTTGGAAGACATGGCACAGAGTTACATTGAATATACTGAACTACTTATAGATTGACCAAAGATTAGTGTGTAATCATCAAGGTGAGCCAGGTAATTGATTGCATGCTGTCAAAACACAGTACCTGGAATTAAAGTCTTCTAAAAACCTTACAGCTATAGTTCTAAGATAACAAGGTGTGGAGCTGGATGAACACAGTAGGCCAAGCAGCATCAGAGGAGCAGGAAAGCTGAAGTTTCGGGCCTAGACCCTTCTTCGGAAATGGGGGAGGGGAAGGGGGTTCTGAAGTAAATAGGGGGAGAGGGGGAGGTGGATAGAAGATGGATAAAGGAGAAGATAGAAGATATCTCCCTATTTATTTCAGAACCCCCTTCCCCTCTCCCATTTCCGAAGAAGGGTCTAGGTCCGCTTTCCTGCTCCTCTGATGCTGCTTGGCCTGCTGTGTTCATCCAGCTCTACACCTTGTTATCTCAGATTCTCCAGCATCTGCAATTCCTACTATAGCTATAGTTTTAAAGTCAGAGTTTTATGGTGTGAAAAGAAGCCTTTTGGCCCATTGTGTCTGCTCCAGTCATCATGCACCTACTTACTCTGGTCCCACTTTCCAGCACTTGGCCCATATCCTTGTATTCTATATCATTTCAAATGTTCTTCTTAAATCTTGTGATGGTTTCCACCTCTACCATCTCTTCAAGCAGTAAGTTCCATATGCTCACCACCTTTTGGCTGAAAAATTATTTCAAATTCCCTCTAAACCCCCTGCCCTTCAGTTTAAATCTATGCCCCCTGTTATCTACCCCTCTACATAGGGAAAGGTTGTTTCCTATCTATGTCCTCATTATTTTGTATTCCTTAATCAGGTGACCCCTCAGACTTCTCTGCTCTAAACCTCAGTGTATCTAGCTTTTTTGCATTGCTAAAATGCTTCAGACCAAGTAAAATCCTGGTGAATCTCCTCTGCATCCTCACTAAAACTGTGAATTCCTCCTTCCTGCCAATATTAATTTGTTCAATTATATTACAGGTCCCCCCCTCATTTCTATACCTACATTGCCGTTCTCTATCGTGAATGCACAAGCAAAGCAATAATTTAAAACCTCATCTACGGCTTCTGACTCCACACATGCTTTACCATTTTGGTCCCCAATGGGTTCTACATTATCCCCTGGTTATCCAGTTGCCCCTAACACCATTATAAAAGGTCTTTAGATTTTCCTTTATTTTACCCAACAGTACTTCTTTTCCATATCCCCCTTTTCAGCTGTAAGAAGGAAACTGCATTATTAAACTGCAGAGGGTTCAGAAAAGATTTACAAGGATGTTGCCAGGACTGGAGTGTGAGAGTTATAAGGAAAGGCTGGATAGCTGGGACTTCTTTCACTGAGCATAGGAGGTTGAGAGGTGACCTTATGCACATTTATAAAATCATGAGGGGCATAGATAAAATGAATTGCAAAGGTCTTTTCCCTAGAGTAGGCGAGTTTAAAACAAGAGGGCATTTTTTAAGGTGAGAAGAGAAAGACATAAAAAGGGACCTGAAGGGCAATGTTTTCACACAGAGGGTCATTTGTATGTGGAATGAACTGCCAGAGGAAGTGGTGATTGCAGGTACAGTTATAACAATTAAAAGACATTTGGATAGATAACTGAATAGGAAAGATTTAGAGGGATATGGACCAAATGCAGGCAAACGGGAATAGTTTAGTTTGGGAAACTTGGTTGGCATGGATGAGTTCAACCAAAGGGTCTGTTTCCGTGCTGTATGACTCTATGACTCTGTTTTCCTAATTTCTTTTTTTAAGTATCCCCTTCAGTTTCTACATGACTGTAGGGGCTCTCTCTGATTTGAGACCTCAGTGCCCATTAAACATTCCTTCTATCCTTATCCAATTCCGTATAGTCCTCGACAGCCAGGATTTTCTGGGCTTGTTGTTCTCACTTTCACCATTTTTTTTTGTTCTACACTTTTACCATTTCTTTTGTGAAAGACTCATACTGCTCCAATGTGGATATTCCTACAGATAGCTGCTTGAAGATCACTTTGGCTAAACCCTGTCTTATCATATTAAAATCAGCCCACCCCAATTCAGAACCTATATTTCCAGTCAATCTTTGTCCTTTTCCATGGCTACCTTAGACCCCACACAGTTATGATTATTGTCACTGAAATGCTTCCCCACTGACGGTTCTACCACTGGCTTGGCTTTGTTCTTTAAAATTAGGTCCAGCAGCACCCCGTCTCTTAAAACTTCTCCTAGATACATTTTAAGAATTTCCTTCAAACCTTTCACAATTTTAATCCCAGTTTGAATTGGGGAAGTTGAAATCCCACTACTATTGTTACCCTATTATTTTTACACCTCTCTGAGATTTGCCTACATATCTGTCTTTTTACCTCTCTCTGACTGCTTGGGGGTCTATAGAACGATCTTAATGTCATCGCCTTTTTTTTTGTTTTTACATTCTACCAAATGATCTAAATCAAGGAATCATCTGCGATAGCATCCCTCCTTATTGCAGTTATTGATTCCTTGATTCTTATTGTGACACCACCTCCTCTTTTACACGCTCTCCCTGCCTTGCCTGAATATTGAGCTGCCAGTTCTTAAAGATGTCTGCATAATAGCAATGATATCATATCCCCATGAGTTAATCTGCAACCCAACTGCCTTACTTGCTAGACTGCTTGTATTAGAATGAATGCTATCCAGTCTTGCCATGTGCCCTTGTGCCTTAACTTGGCTATATATGCTCTGCCTTTCGAACTGACTCGTTTGTTTTCTTTTATATTTGCCTGTGTGTCACTCCCTGTTGCATTTACACTTCATACCCCATACCCCTGCTGAATTAGTTTAAACTTCCACCAACAGCACAAGCAAGCCCTTTCCCCAACAAGGATGTGATCCTGTTTTGGTGCAATCCAGATTTGTACAATTCCTACCTTCACCAGAATCTGAAGCCCTCCCTCCTCCATTAACTCATCATATTCATCTGTTCTACCTGTCTATTTTGATACTCAGCAGCATGTGGCACTAGGAGTAATGCAGCAAGTACACCCCTTAAGATCCTGCTTTTCAATCTGCTACCTGGCTCCCTAAATTCTTGTTGGAGGAATTCATTGCTCTTTTTAAACCTAGGTTCACCAATGTGAATCGTGACATCTGACTGTTCACTCTTTTCAAAACCCTGCAGTGACATCCTTGATTTTGGCCTTAGCAAGCCAACACACCATCCTGGAGTCACATCTGTGGCAGCAGAAACACCCATTTGTAGCCCTTGCTATTGAGTGTCTTCTCACTATTGCTCTTTCTTTCTTTCTCCTCCCCACCTTGTGCAACTGGACTGTGGCTACACCCTCCCAGAGCAACTATCACTCCAATCATTTACCAACACAAAACATCTGTTCTTGGGTGAGATGCACTCCAGACCTTTCCTGATGACCTGTCTGCCTCACTATTCTGACTGGTGGTCTCCCACTCCTTTGTTGACTGCTCTTCTTTGAACTGTGGGGTGACCAGTACAATAAACATGCTATGCACATAACTCTGCCTCGCAACTGCATAATGTGGCGATGACAGCCAACACTCAAGCTACAAAAGCTGGTGCTCAAACTATTCCGACTAGTGGCACCTCCTACAGACATGGCCAGTCACACTGGCAGGAGCATCTAAGAGTTCGCAACACAAGGGACAGGGTTCCCCTGTCATACCTGAAATTAAATTACTCATAACCAAAACTTAAGCCAAGTAGGAAAAATTATTTAAGTTTCTTGAACTATTAACTGTAAACGGTAGCTAGGTAGAGAGTAGAAATTTGTTTTCCTTACTGACAAATCAGCTTGCTAGCCTCTGCCCATGAATGCTTTCTTTCCCTGTGGCTTGTTCAGGAATTTGTTTTTCAACACTACTAAGGTTGAAACATAATCCCAAACAGTTTTTTGGTCAAAAACTAATCAGCTCACAACTTCCATGTCATATTACTCCCATAGTATTTGAAACTCAGCCAAGCATCTCAGGACAGTGCTCCCCCACAGGACCAACCCTGCTTGCCCCCCGGGAGATAATTAATTTAAAACAGCAGCTTTAAGCAAAATGCTAAATTGCAGGAAAGTAGCCCTTGGTTTTAAGCAAGACTAGCCTTTAAAATTAAATGCTGTCTCCCAACGTTTCCTCTAAACTGATCAGCCACACTTCACTCATATCAATCAATGTGTCAACATATACTCCATTGCTGCCATGCACAGACCGTGAGTGCAGTGGCTAGGAAAATTAGAGGGAATGTTGCTCTTACCTCTTCTTCTACTAAAGCCTCAGTGTTAGCATTGTGCAGCAGAGCTGACTCTCTGCCTCAGGGTCCTCACCTCACCTGCTTCTTTGATTTACAACACAACTGCTCACAGTAAATTTGAGCAACATTTTGGGTTGAACTTAATGTCTGTGTCTGTGGCCTGGTTCACTAGCTAGGAAGCTGGTGTGGCCATTTCAGGGAAGCTCAATGAAGCCAACTTTCTGTCCGTGGCCTGTCACCTGTGGTCAGGTTTCCCTGGGCTGCCTATACCAGTATCCCATTTCCAAGTCCTACTGATCAGAGGTCCAGCAACTCTTCAGCCACAGCAATACCACCCAGAGAGATGGGCACTCCTGGAACTACAGCAGGCCTCAAAGCTGAAGGCAAAGGAGAATGAGTGGCAGGAGCTCCTCGATCTTCTGTGTCTTTTATGCACTTGGGGGAGTTGGGAAAGAGACGGGCTCACCACCCTATGACATCCCAACTGATTATTAGCACCACTCCCCACCCCTTTCCAGAAGGGCACTAAATTACATTGCAGATTTTCTGACATTTATCTATTTCTTAACACAAGAGGGCGCTTAAAGGCTTAAGAAAGTGTTTTTCATTTTAATTTATGTTCAATGTATTTTTGTGAACAAGGTTATACTTGGGGTGAATTTTGTACATTCGGGTGAATTCTAGAGGGGGATAGGAAACTTCAGACTGAATGAGGCAGACAAGGACAGAACTGGAAGAGAGGATTAAGATGCAGAATCAGAGATGAGGAATGGAATAGAGCCAAAGTAGATGACAGTGACTGACAAAGAAAAGTGTAGCAGATTGTCAGGGCTTAGAATAGAATCAAATTACATTAAAATGTTGTTTTGGAAGGGATAAAACTTCAAACCAGTAAAGAAGGGCCAAGTCTAACAAATTCCAAGTTGAAGGAAACCATTATCTTCTCCATAGAGACTTGTTCTGCCATCCTCGATTATGTTATAATCATGCTAACTGCACTGTCGTATAACTTAAACTTCACTAAGATACAAACAACAAATATGCTTTCATCTTTTTAGGTGAATTTATCCTTAATCTGACTTCCAAATATTGCATAGCAATTTATTAATTTCTGTATTTTTCGGATGCCAAAAATACCGTCCTTCAGATTTCTGTGTTTGCAATTCATATTTATTAGGTATGAACAAGCCAAGTGCAACTTGCTTTTTATTTGAACTTACCACCCTGTATACTTGAATATTCCTGAAGACTGGGATATGACATAGTACTGATTATAGCATCCCCTGACGCGTGACATTCCCACAGATGTTTAGTTCAGAAAACACCAAATTATTCAGATGAGTTGACCTTACAATATGGGCAAGACCAGTTCATCGAGATGCAAGCGTATGCAGTGTGTCAGGCCAGGATCTTTACACAGAACAGCCAAGATCATATCATCAGCCTCCTGTGTTCCAATTGACTTTACACTGTGTTATGGTACCTCTTCTCTTAGTGCTTATAATGAATTGAATAAAATTGTCTACCATGACTCTCTCCCTTCTGAATCAGAAGCATGTGGATTCAAAACCCATTCCAAGGATTTGTTTAAAAAATATTTTTTCAGGAGATGTGGTTGTTGCTGGCTAAGCCATCCCGAATTGCCCAAGAAGCTGGTGATGAACTGCCTTCTTGAATCATTACAGTCCGTAGGGTGAAAGTGCACCCACAGTACTGTTGGGGAGGAGTTCCAAGATTTTGACCAAGTGACAGTGAAGGAATAGTGATAGTGATACTGTTTCAAGTCAGGATGGAGTATGGTTCAGAGGTGAACTTGCAGGTGGTGGGGTTCCCATGGATATGTTACTCTTGTCCTTCTATATAGCAGATGTCATGGAAGCTGCTGTCGAAGGAATCTTGATGAGTTATTGTAATGCATCTTGTAGATGGGACGCACTGCTTGATAATGCATCAGTGATGAAGACAGTGAATGTTGAAGGTGGTGGATGGGGTGTCAGTCAAGCAGGATTCTATATTCTTAATGGTGTCAAGCTTTGACTATGTTGTTGGAGTTGCACCCATCCAGCCAAGAGGGGAATTTTCTATCGCACTCCTGACCTCCGTCAGGTAAATAGTAGACAGTTATGGGGAAGACAGGAGGTAAATTATTCATCAAAGAATTCCCAGCCTCTAACCTGCTCTTGTAGACCTAGTATTTCTATATTGGTCCAGTGCAGTTCCTGGTCAATGGTAGCCCTCAGGATGTTGAAAGTGGGGATTTAAGTCATGATTATGCCATTGACATCAATGAGAAATGGTAAGATTCTTTTGTGGGAATTGGTCATTGTCTGGCATTTCTGTGTCATGAATGGACTTGCCACTTATTAGCTCAGGACTGGATGTTGTCCAGGCCTTGCTGCATGTAGACCTGGTCTGCTTTAGTACCTGAGTAGTCATGAATGATCCAGAATGTATGAGCAAAAGATCTGTGTTGACACTCTAGTAGATAAAAGATACTACACAGATGCAATTTCTTTCTTTCCTTTCAATCAAGTGGGCAACAGTTATCTGCTGCACAAGATTCATTGCGCCTAACCCATACAGCAGTTAAAATTATAGTTAATGTCTGATGATAAACACTCTAAGATTCAAACAAGCTGTACTTTCATAACGGATTCCCACATGACAGCAGTTCACTAGCTATAAAGTGTTTTTGGATTACCTGAAGTCATGGTCATTTATATAAACACACATTATTTCTTCAACTTCTGCAAAAAGTCTATCGTCACAAAATATCCAATGCAACATTTAGAGATTTACAATGGCAAACTGTTTTGAACCTACCTGGTTCATGAATCTCTTCTGTGCCTGAATAGGAGGAGAAGACCTGTCCAATGAACTGGTACTGCTGCTCCCTATAGTTGTTCTGGAGGTAATCGATTAACATAGCGTAGCCAGACTTTTGCATGGTCAGCACCTCACAGAAAACTGCCAGCTGGATCAAAGCACAAATATTTCAAAAACCCTTTCAATGCATGGACAGACTTTTTCACAGAACTGTCAAATGGCAGCTTCTTCATAACAAGGGAGAAAGGTAAAATTGTTTTAAAAAAAACATTAAGCCTAAACTGATCCCCACTTGGCATCTGCACACTTGTAACTTTTTACTGGGCAATTATATATGAATTAAAATCAGGAAATATTGACTCATTTCACATCCTTGACCCAAGGGCACTCAAGTCAATTGTTGTATCCAATTTAATAGGAACTGGAAATTGAATGAGACTTTCTGCTCTGTATGGCACCAAGTTAAAATTTAATTAAAATACATTTATGAGGATAGTGCAGCTTATTTTAATAGTTTAATTTTGGATGAATGGGTTATTGTCCAGTTACGATACCAGGAAAAGCCCATAAAATACATTCATTGAGGATTTGTGTGGTGAAATTTCCAGTATATTTTGTTAATTGTTTTAAAGTCAAAGCAATATTTGTTACAGTCGGTTAGTTACACAGAGCTCTGGGAATATGAAAATATATTAATTTATTCAAGAAATTCAGATATTGCCATGAAACTAAAGATAAAATTATAGACAGTAGAATGCTCAAATCAGACAACAAAGTCAAAATCCCTTTGGAATACAGGTATAACTTGCATCCTGACAACTAATTTAATCTGTGTTGTTAAAGTCACAGAATTTCAAACAAAGGTGTACCTGTTATTGTAAGTTATCTAAGACAGTTGGCAGCTTATTATTGATAAAATGTTCATCAATGATCTTCCCTCTATTATAAAGGTCAAAAGTGTGATGGTTGCCAATGATTGCACAATGTTTAGCACCAATTGTGACTCCTCAGGTGTTGAAGCAGTCCATGCTTAATGCAACAAGATCTGGACAATGTCCAAGCATGGGCTGACAAGTGGCAAGTAACATACACGTCATACAATGCCAGGTAATGACCATCTCCAATAAGAGACAATCTAACCACCATCCCTTGACATTCAATGGTGTTACCATCACTGAATCCCCTGCTATCAACATCCGTAGGATTATCATTGACCAGAAACTCAACTGAGCTCGCCACATAAATACAGTGGCTACAAGAGCTAGCTGGATGTTAGGAATATGACAGGCAGTAACTCACCTCCTGACTTTCCAAAGCCTGTCTACCATCTACAAGGCATGAGTCAGGAGTGTGGTGAAGTACTGCTTACTTGCCTAGATGAGTGCAGCTCCAACACTCAAAGAACTTGACACAATCTAAGACAAAGCAGCCTGCTTGACATGCGCCACATCCACAAGCATCCACTCCTTCCACCACTGATGCTCAGTAGCAGCAGTGTGTGCGTTCTACAAGCTGCACTGCAGAAATTCAAAGATCCTCAGACAGCATCTTCCAAACCCATGACCACTTCCATCTGAAAGGACAAGGGCAGCAGATATACAGGAACATCATCTCCTTCAAGCTCCCCTCCAACCACTCACCATCTTGACTTGGAAATATATCACCATTCCTTCACTGTTGTTGGGTCAAAATCATAGAAATCCCTCCATGGGTCATTGTGGGTCAACCTACAGAACATGGCCTGCAGCAGTTCAAGAAGGCAACTAACCTTCATCTTCTCAAGGGCAACTAGGAATAGACAATAAGTGCTGGCCAGCCGGCGATGCCCACATCCCATGAATGAATAATAAAAATCACCAAAAATGGATTATTAACGAGCATTTACTGTAACTTTTCATGTCTCCAGGTCTTGTTCATGATTTGAGCATGTACAAACTGAACTCTATTTTGCACAGTTGTCTGGGAACTGTTGAGGATGGGTCAGCTAGCTTGGTTGGTTGGCTGTTTTGTGATGCAGAGTAATGAGTTCAATTCCAACATGAGCTGATAGCACCACTGAAGGTCCTTCCTTCTCAAAGTTGCCCCTCACCCAAGGCATGTTGGCCCTCAGGTTAAATTCACCACCAGCCATCTCTTTCTCTCTGTGACTGGTGATATTTCCTTCAGCACAGAGCTCACCACAATTCAGCATGTCTGCTATGTCAAGCTGCTATCAGGCCTGATTTAGAATAAAATAGGTATTGTATAGGTACACAAGAACGTAATGCTGGCATGCCACTCCATGTCTCTCATGGATCCTCCACAACCACTGACCCAATATCCATATCTTTTAAATTGACATTAAAAATAAACTAACAATCTAATGGGGCTATCATTCAAATAATACTGGAAATCTCTAATGTACAAGATGAATAGCTTCGACAAAATATGCACGATACTAAATATCAGTAATACTCAAGTTTTGTACAATGAAACAACTAAACACTTAATCACTTACCATATCAAAGACAGATAACTTTAATAACCTCTTTAGAATATCAATCAACATCTCAATGAAACCAAGCATGGAGTCAGGAATGACAAAGTTTAGAGCTTTTGACGATTGTCAAATTCACAGTGCTTCCTCATACCTGTGCTATTCTTGTGACATTTTTTTTTGTTGGACAGGAACTCATAACATTGGATATACCTTTTGAGGTTGTAGCGGGGAGGGGGTGTCACCATTATGTGATCTATGGAAAATCTGAATTTGTGTGCACGTTGGCGCAGGCTTTAGAACCTCTAAAGATCCCTGCCCATAGATTTCAAAGTTGTTGGGAAGAAGTTAAGTACATTTTGAGACCTGCCAGAGTGACATCAAATGTCACTATTAGATGGTGTATCATAACATAGATGTTCTTCAACTGAAAATAATTTATCATTAGGCTCTGATCTGCCAAAGCAAGTTGACCACTGCATTGAACAGGATTGTTTAAGTGTTGCACACCTACAGATATATACTTTTTTAAATTCACTCATGAGATGTAGGTGTCACTGGCTGGCCAGTATTTATTCCCCATCCCTCGTTGCCCTTGAGAGGTTCTATCATGTTCTGAACTTTGATTTGAATGTCAGGTGGTCCTTAACTTTGAACAAAATTGCCCTGCTATTAGAAGTTGGAAAATCTAACTACCTATACCACTCCCTTATTGACAGGCAATTGTATTTGAAATTGAAATGTAACACCATACGTTCTTTCAGTTTCATTTCCCATGAGTCATAATGGTTTGTTTTGATAATTGTTGCCATTATGATTCAAAGACATCCTGTAGTCTGCCCACATTGGGCACTGGGTGAGTGGTTATGGAGGAAACATGGGGGACATAGAGTAGCATTGAGATATGCAGGGTCATGGTGGGAATAGGGGGTGGCTTTGGGAGTGAGGTGTCATGGATGAGGCATGGTGAATGTGGGGCATAGAGAGATGCAGAGAATATGAAACAGTTTGGACAGGCCTGTGGGGGAATGAAGGATAAGGTTAAGAATGGTGACCAAGATGAGAAAATAAATGTTCCAGGGACACATTGATAAAATATTGACAGAATATGAAGGAGGAAGGATACCCTAACAGTAAACATAACACCATTAATGAGAAAGGATCTTGGCTAAGAAAATCACAAATTAGAAAAGTAACAGTTGGACATTAGGAATAGCAAGAGTCAGAAAATGCTGGTTGGATAGTTTCTAGGCCCTCCTAACAGTTGTAAATGTTATTGATAGAACATTAAACAAAATATTTGTGAAACAAAGGCGGTATATAATTATGGGGAACTTTAAATCTTCATATAGAAGAGACCAATCAAATTGGAAAGAGTGGCAAAGAAGATGTTTGTAGAATTTTATAACGGTTTTATGGAGCGATACAGTGTGGAACCAACTTGAAGAAAGCACCCTTACATCTATCAATTAACATTGTCTCATTACGCAGGACTAAATTCATCATAAAAGATCCACTGGAATTAGTGATCAATTACATTCATGTTAAAGATTGAAGGAAATTGACTCCAAACACAAGTACTTCGCTGTAGTTATCAGGAGAGAAATGGCCAAATAGGCGAATAGGTATGGCTGTTGATAAAGAGTGGAAAACATTTTAAGAAACAATTCACCAAAATGCATTCCACTGAAAAACAACCACTCAGCACTAAAGGTTCACCTGCAGCTTACTCAGGAATGTAAGCATAGTATTACATCAGAAGATGACTTAGAAATTTGCAAAAAAAAAGTCTCAGGAATGTTTTAGAAACCAGCAAAGGTCGACCAAAAAAATTGATAGTAAGACAGGAAATAGAATGTAAAAGTAACTGATTTATAAATATATAATAGCAAATTGTAAGACTAATTACAAGTAAGTAAACATTGGTGCCTCAGAAGCAAAATCAGGCAAAAGAGAAAATGAGGAAATGATAGAGACATTAAGTAAATATTTTGTGTCTGCCTTCACAGTGGAAGACACAAATTGCATACCAGAAATAAATGTAAACATGCACACTAAGGAAGGATGAGAAAATTAATATAATCAATATCCACAGAGAAAAAAAACATACTGGAGGAAGTTAAAGGATTAAAATCTGACAAATTCTCAGGACCTGATGGCCTACATCCTCGGGTGCATAATAAATATTTAGAGCTGCAGAGATAATGATTTTCTAAAATTCACTAGATTGAGGAATTGTTCCAGCAGCTTGGAAGTTAGCAAATGTGACAATGCTACTCAAGAAAGGAATGAGAAGGTAAACAAGAACTGCAGGTTAATTAGCTTAGTTATCAAAAAAGATGCTGGAATCTATTATTAAAGGAATTCTTAACAGTGTATCTTTAAAATCATTGTATCATTAGATAAAGTCAACACGGTTTTACAAAACTCATTATTTTGACATTGATTTTTTGAAGATACAAAAATAGTAGATAAAGGAGAATTAGAATATGTAGTGTATCTGGATTTCTGAAAGGCATTCAATAAAAAGTGTCACATGAAAAGTTAATATGCACAACATGGGCTCGTTGAGTTAGTAGTAATAATATTAACATGAAGAGAGGATTGGTTGAAGATCAAGAAGCAAAGAATAGACATGAATGGGAAATTCTCAAGTTGGTGTGTGTTAGGGATGCCTGTAATTAAGTAGCACAAAATGGCCATTGGCTGCCCATAACTGAACAGAAAATGGCCGACAGACTGCAGCAGATCATGGCCAGCCAAAGAAAGCAAGACTTAGGAAAATATTTGCTTAATGTAGTCTCAGTAAGTTGAACAATAGCAAGACTGTTTAATCAAGGTTACAGGCTGAATAGAGTGTGCAGCTGCAATTGCTTACATAGATGCACTAAGTAATTGTTTCTCTTGAATTATTTAATCAATCTGTTACAATATTAAGAGTAGGTTTTAGTTCAGATCGTTCAGATAATTATAGATGTAGATTCTGAGGGAGTCATGAATCCACATATATCCAAAAAAATCAACAAAAGAAAAATTTCAAACCAGTTTGAGGCAATAGAAGTGGTCCCCTTATCATTAAAGTCTGTGAAAATATCATGACTGTTGGTGGACCACCAGCCTGTCCATCTCTTTAAGATGCTGTACCAGGGAAATCTCAACGCTGCTGACTAATAGTATCAAGGGGGAGGGGGGAGGAGGAGATGTGCACTCTAAGTTTTAACTGTATACAATCTGAAGTTTTTGTGCTCCTTACTGAAAAGAAAATCTGAATCAGTAATGAAGTTGTACCAAAATAAAGTTGTACCTGAATCTACCACCAGACTCAGACTCTCATTGGAAAATATGAGATCCAACAGTATGTTGTAACTAATGGAATGCCACAAGCATGGTGCTGGAGCCTCACCTATTTACAATCTATATTAATGATTTAGAAAAAGATTCAAATCACAACCTAGGCTTGCTGACAATACAAAGCTATGTGGAAAAGTTAGTTATGAGGAGGATACAGAGACAGCCAGGAGATATGGACTTGCTAAGTGAAAGGGCAACAGAATGTTGGTTGGAGTATGATGTGAGGAAGTGAGAGTTTATTCATTTTGGTCATAAGAATAGAAAAGTAAACTATTTTTAAGGGGCATGAAATTCATAAATGGTAACATTCCAAACTAACATTCATCTCACAAAGTTAGCATGCAGGTACAATAATTAATTAACATGGCAAATGGTGAGTTGACGATTACCTCGAGGGGATTAGAGTTAAGGAGCAAAGAAGTCTTGCTACAATTGTACAAATCTTTAAGACTACACCTGGAATACTATACGCAGTTTTCATCACCATGTTTGTATTGAAGTCAGTATAATGAAGGTTAGCTAGATGGTATTAGTGATGAAAGGATTGTTCTATACAAAGAAGCTATATGGGGCATATATTCATGGTCTGGGGCTGGACTTTAGAAGAAATGAGAGGTGCCATCACTGAAATACATAAAATTCTGAAAGATCTTGACATGGTAGACACTGGAGGGTTATTTCCACTGGTTGAGAATCTAGAACACTCAGGCACCATGGTTACTTAGGCCTGGGATAAGGAAGACTTCTTCACCCAAATTGTTGTGATTTTTTGGAATGCTCTATCCAAACGGGTTGTAAATGCTTTTTCTTCAGCTACTATTTTCCGGTTTAGACAATTTTTAGTCTCTCAAAGATTCAAGGATTATCAGGAGAGGGCGTAAAAGTGCTGTTGAAGTGTGAAATCAGCCAGAATTATATTTAACAATGGAAAAGGCTCAACAGACTGTATGGTTCGCTCCTGCTCCTATTTCTTGTGTTATGTTTGTGGAGGATAAGAAAACGTTGGATCCTGGGCTGCTATCCCTAAGAACAGAGAGAAGCATTCTAACCAGACTGATGTGCACCCACACTTCTTTTCAGCCTCCAAAACTCAATCCCTCCCCATTCACTTCCGTAGGAGATAAACATATTCAGAGGTGAACTTCGGTTTCAGAATTTGGAACAAGCCTGACTCCCATTTCTCTGGCCAGTGGTGAAGATTGGTCCCATAAATAACTGTGCCTTAATTAATGTTAATTTGTTCAGAAAATAAACATACTTCTGATGACTGTGAAATTCTATTTATTTATATTTTTAAACCTGTAGCTAATTCAATATATTTCTGATTTCTAGGATTTTCCACTTTCTTGGGGCCGACCATAAATGCATGTTGGGAAACCATGCACAAAATGTTTGTAAGTGGCCATCAATTAAGTACAATTTTGTAGGTGAGGAATGGAGGTGAGGGAGGTGAAAGGGGAAAGGAAAAAGTCATGGGCTAGAGCTGAAGATTTTCTGATACTTTCTTCTACCATGCCGTATAATTCCTGAAATGGAAATATATACTCGAGATATCTAATGTTCTGACAATGTTTCAAGGACAGCCCTAAGAAGGGATAATAGAAACCCAATAGGAAGGATCAAATGAGGCTCAATATGTACCTTACTCTGAGAATTACAATCTTCATACACACACACATACATGCAAAGTTCCTTGTAAAAATAATGTACTAGAATGTGAAAAGTTAAACATTTCTGGGGCTGCACACTGTACTCACTCAGCAATTATTCTGCAGAGGATTATGTACCACACAGTCTTTTGGAATTGGCTTGAATGGTATCTTGTGGATTGGGAATAGGGAGCACGGCTCTGCAGTTATTGCTGACACTTGTAAAATAGATTATATTTCTGTCACATCCTCTGGCTTTTCTAAATGGTACCTTAAGCTACACAATTTACAAACTACTGCACAACTTAAACACTGTAAAATAGTTAAATTTACCTGAATTTCAGAAATGGGAACAGTTTCTTTAAAAACAATCCATTGGACAGTTTCTGTACAGGGAGGTGTAGTAAGGGAGCCGTTATAACTGTAATATTTATCCGTGGAATTTGGAAGAAGATTCAGTAAAATGAATGGTTCCACCAGAGCCTGTTTTCCTAAAGCAATACAAAATCTTGGATGAAGATTCATTATAAAGAGAATAATCATTGTTTTAACTACCAAATATCAATATTAATGCTGGCATGCTATATAAATAGAGGTTCATGTAGCAAAATTATCAAAGAATACAAGGGGTAGCTTTGAGTTAAATGGCATTTTTTGCAAGCTAGAAGCAGCCCTTTTTAAAAGATCTCTTTCCCAATTTTTAACTCCAATTAATTCGCTAGCACTCATATCACACAAAGTCATAATTACTTGCACAGTTTTATAAATTGGCAACCAGGTGAGCCCTAGTGCTGAGATTACAAGTAGATTCAATTGCTTATTACACAGCTATTCCACGGGTATAGTGCCGGAAGATTGGAAAGAGAAAAACGTCATTCCCTTGTTCAAAAAAGGGAATAGGGATAACCCCGGAAATTACAGGCCAGTTAGTCGTACGTCAGTGGTGGCAAATTATTGGAAAGGGTTCTGAGAGACAGGATTTATGACCACTTGGAAAGGCACAGTTTGATTCATGATAGTCAGCATGGATTTGTGAGGGGTAGATCATGCCTCACAAACCTTATTGAATTCTTTGAAGAGGTGACCAAACACGTGGATGAAGGTGGAGCAGTGGATGTGGTATACATGGATTTAAGTGAGGCGTTTGATAAAGTTCCCCATGGTAGGCTCATGCAGAAGATAAGGAGGCATGGGATAGGGGGAAATGTGGCAAATTGGATTCAAAATTGGCTGACCCTTAGAAGACAAAGGGCGGTAGTGGACGGAAAATATTCAACATGGTGCTCAGTTACGATTAGTGTACTACAAGGATCTGTTCTGGGCTCTCTTCTATTTGTGATTTTTGTGAATGATTTAGATGAAGGAGTGGAAGGGTGGATTAGCAAGTTCGTGGACGATACGAAGGTGGGTCACATTGTGGACAGTGCGGAGGGCTGTTCTAGGTTACAAAGGGACATTGATAGAATGCAGAGCTGGGCTGAGAAGTGGCAGATGGAGTTTAACCCTGAAAAGTGTGAGATGATTCATTTTGGAAGGACAAACTTGAAAGCAGAATACAGGGTTAACGGAAAGATTCTTGGCAGTGTGGAGGAGCAGAGGGATCTTGGGGTTCATGTCCACAGTTCCCTGAAAGCTGCCACCCAGGTGGATAGAGTTGTTAAGAAGGCGTATGGTGTGTTAGCTTTCATTAATAGAGAGATTGAGTTCAAGAGCCATGAAGTTATGCTCCAGCTATACAAAAGCCTGGTTCGGCCACATCTGGAGTATTGTGTCCAGTTCTGGTCACCTCATTACAGGAAAGATGTGGAAGTGTTAGAAAAGGTGCAGAGGAGATTTACCAGGATGTCGCCTGGAATGGAGGGAAGGTCTTATGAGGAAAGGTTGAGAGAGCTAGGGCTTTTCTCTTTAGAACGACAAAGGATGAGAGGTGACTTGATAGAGGTGTACAAAATGATCAGAGGTATAGATAGAGTAGACAGCCAGAGACTTTTTCCTAGAGTGGAGGTAGCTTTTACGAGGGGACATAGTTTTAAAGTGAAAGAAGGTAGATATCAGGGAGACGTCAGAGGTAGGTTCTTTACTCAGAGAGTGGTAGGGGTGTGGAATGCATTGCCGGAGAGTGTATAGTGGAGTCGGCCTCATTAGGGGCATTTAAGCAGCTATTGGATAGGCATATGGATGATAGTATAAGCTAGGGGTGGAGGTTAGATAGACATTAGGTTTAGGGTAAAAGTTTGGCACAACATCGTGGGCCGAAGGGTCTGTACTGTGCTGTACTGTTCTTTGTTCTATTCCCTCATTGGATTTGGGTTAATATGTGCAAGTACTCAATGTGCTCACCCAATCCCTATTGTTTTGAAAGTGCTTAAAATAAGCTGGAAGAATAGCTACCCCATAGTAACAGAAAGGGGAATTTAAGGTGTGTTCATTCAAAGTTTAAATTCATTATCTCAGTGTGAATTTATATATCCAGTGAATTTATTAATTTGTGGCATAGCGTTCTAGAAATCAGAAATGAGAAGTTATTTATAACACAGTGTGGAGCTGGAAGAGCACAGCAGGCCAGGCAGCATCAGAGGAGCAGGAATCAGGTCAGGATCCTTCTTCAGAAATGGGGAGGGGGAAGGGAGCTCCGAAATAAATAGAAGAGGAGGGGTGGGGTGGGGAAGGTAGGTGGGATGGTGATAGGTGAGCGCAGGGTAGGCAGTGGTGGGGATTGGTCAGTGAGGTGGGAGGAGCGGATAGGTGGGAGAGAAGATGGACAGGATGTGTCAGGTCAAGAAGGCAGGGATGAGAGGGAAGGTTGGTCATGGGATGAAGCCAGGGGTGGGGAGATTTTGAAACTGGTAAAGTCCACATTGAGAGCATTGGGTTGTAGGCTTCCAAGGCGGAATATGAGGTGCTACTCCTCCAGTTTCTGGGTGGCATCATTGTAACACTGAAGGAGGCCCAGGATGGACATGTCGCCCAGGGACGGGGATGGGGAGGTGAAATGGTTCGCGACTAGAAGGTGTTGGAAATTGGCTTGGGTTACATGCAGCTTAAAGCTCCCCAAAGGTATTCTTGGAGTCTTGTATCTCTGAGAGGGTTCCCTGCAACGCCTGAAAATGTTGGCAAATGTTTCCGAGCTGAAAAATAAACTGTGGAATCATAGAATCGAATCCCTACTGTGTAAAGCAGATCATTCAACCCATCGAGGTTACACCAATCCTCTGAAAAGCATCCCACCCAGACCCAAATCTCCTACCCTATCCCTCTAACCCTGCATTTCCCATGGCTAATCCACTTAAATTGCAAATCCCTGTACGCTATGGGCAATTGAGCACAGCAAATTACCTAACCTGCATATCTTTGGGCTGTGGGAGGAAACCAGAGCACCTGGAGGAAGCCCAAGCAGAGATGGGAAGAATGTGGAAACTCTACACAGACAGTTACCTGAAGACAGAATCGAAGCTGGGTCCCTGGACCTGTGAGGCAGCAGTGAAAACCACTGAACCGCCATGCTGCCCATAGATCAACAATAAAACAAAATGCACAGGTAGTGCAAAAGTATGTTTTCTACACTTGAAGAAAAGGAAGTTTAATTATTTTAAAATATTAAAATTCCTGTGCACTCTCCCGTGAGTGCAAGGGAGGTTTGGATTATCTGTTGATTGTAAAATGTTTCTCACCCCAATCAACCTGTTCAGAGATGTTGTTACGCCCTTCTGGAGCAGGTGGGACTTAAAACATTGTTATCCTGGATCAAAGTTAGGGACACTACCACTGCATCACAACTGGGCACTTTCTGTTGATTTTTCTTTTATTTGACCTATATTTCTAATCAACCTGTTCCGAGAAGTTATAACACTCTGGAGGAGGTGGAGCTCAAACTTGAACCTGAGCCTCCTGATCCAGAGGTAGGGACACAGGAGGGCCCCATTCTGTTGATTGTTGGAGCTGCCTTTGCAGTGTTTGCACCTGACTACTGCCTGAAGAGTGACTCTAAATAACCCTGCCAACTCCGACAAAGATAAAACTGGAGGCCATTGTCGGCCACAATCCCAGAGTGTCTGCCTGGATTGTGTCCCATGGATTTCAGTATCCAAATCATTTTTGTGATTGCTGATTCACTTGATTTTTATTTCCAGCATTTTTATCAATTTTTTAAGAAGTGGTTTTAGTTAACATTTGCACAATATATACAACTGAAACTTATTTTCCTGTTCTTAGTATTATTTCACAATCCTATTATAATAACAAGAAATAAATCATTTTGCTCAGTTAGAATTCTGAGGCCTTTTCATTTCTTTCAATCTAGATACACTGGTGTGGTTCGCTCCTTGACTACTATTCACAGAACTTACCACATCGACTAACTGTTTCCACACCACGTATGACATTTTCATAATCCATATTATCCTCTGGACCAATCTGTAAAATTGGAGACAATTTTAAAACTAATTGTATGCTTCAACACAGACACATTAATAGCACATTGGAGATTAAGTTTAAATATGATGTATGTTAAAAGGGTCTTATCTCCTTGACATATTGTTTGTGATTTGTTTAAAGCACGCACCAGTGACAAATCACATGTAAAAGCCATATTAGTGTACTGTAAGAAAACAATTACTCTTCTCACAGTACCTTTTCTATTCACAAGTCATTATTTGTAATACATTGCAAATAACCAAATGTCTTACTTTATAAGTAATAAAAGAAACTCAGCCGGAATCAAAATGTTATGAAAACACACTGAAGTTTCTGTTTATTTTGACATGGAAATATTTACAATATCCTAGATAAATTGATCTTTCATTTAAACAATGGGAAGAGTTTACAAGTTGTGGTGAGCCTTGTGAGGCAGAGTAAAGATCAGGAATTCCGTGTAGCTCTTTGAACACTGGAAAAGTGGAGGTGAAATGGCAAACAGTGTTGGCAATAAGGGGAGTCTGCCTCTCACTCCAGGAATCCAATCCAGACAGTAATGCATGGAGGTGAATGAGGACTCTTCCTATTACTGACAATGCCAGTCCCAAGCTGCTGTCTGTGAGACCAATTGTAAATGTCACCAGATAGTACATTTCAGTAGGTGGTTGTCCAATGAATCATACTCCACGTAGGCAGTTTCAGCAAAACACTGGCAAACAGGTATGCCTCTGCTTATAAATGTGGATTAGAGGGTAACATCCAGTAGGTACAATCTGATTCTGGCACAGTATGAGTTTTGGCACTGGTCCATTTTACCCGCTTAGTGCTTCAAAAAAAAAAGTGGAGAAGGCACGTGGGAAGTCCATTGTTCCAATTCCAAGGACATACTAAACAATGCAGTTATAGAATCCTTGTGAAAAAGTGTCCTGAGTAGAGAGGTGAAAGCAAAAAAACAAAAAAGTTTCAAAAAAGTTAACCCAGCAACAGATGTTTAACTGCACTTTGGTAGACTGTAATATTGGGATTTAACTAAAAACTGCAATCTGGTGGGTGTTTTATGTTAGCATAAAGTTGCTTTACCACGGCAATGATGCTGGTGGACTTCAATGTTTTTCAGGGCTTTCCAAAGTCCATCTCTGCTCACTGTGCCAAGTGCTGTGATGTCTAGAAAGGTGACATTCAGGCATTGGCTTTGCTTACTGCATTTTTCTTGGTATTTGTACTTAGCCAAATACATGTCTGTGATAGCTCTGTTTAGTCTGAAACCGCAATGGCTTTCTTGAAGAATTTATTTTGCAAAGACAGAGACCAGCCTGTTAAGTAACATTCCAGTCAGGATCTTCTCAGCAAGAGAAAGGAGGGTGATCCTACAATAGGAGGAGCAATCTAACTTTTCTCCTTTCTTTTTGTACAAGGTGATGATAACAGCATCACACAGGTTCTCACAAGCCATGAAAAGCTCATGCACTTGGTATGTAGGGTAGAGTCACCATGCTTCAAGGCTTCAGATGAAATTCCTTAAACCCTGGGGCTTTATTCTGTTCATCTAATTAATGTCAGTCACACAGTTGGGCTTTCATTCAGTTCTTCTTTGACAAATTGCTGTCAGTTGGCAGATGGCAGTTCCATGCATTGTGCACTTGGCAATGCCAAGTGTTTCAAATTGCTCTGACCAGTGATTTAGGACTGGTACCTTTTTGATATGCTGTGTCTTGCCACTGGCACTCGTTAAGAGGCTTTTGTGTTTGAGCTGCTGGCCCATAGACAAATTTCAGTGCTTCACAGAAAAACCGTACAACCTATCATGCAGGGAGGAGACAAATATGTTTGGACCATTTATTGACATCTACCGCAATTGGTAGATACTGCAATTTGCATTCTGGAACTTTGAAGGTTCAATCATATTTCAATTTCTCCAAAAAAAAAGTATGCTCTTTCATTGCATGTTTCCAACTGAGAAAGTTCTAAAGTGCATGATTGAAAACTTCCAAAAGGGCAAGGAAGCGAAGCATTTGAGAAGACTGCCAATTGTAGAGGTAGGGAATTGAACAGTGTTGAAATCCTAACAAAGAGTGAGCTAGCACGCGTGACAATAAAATTAGTGCATTTCTTCTCAAAGTATGGAATGCTAAAAGAGACAAATTTAGCAATTGCCAGCTCCAAGATAGGGTGTGAAGTCATTGCAAATGTAAGGAATTAATGCCCATAAACAAACATTCCTTTTCTTGGACAAGGAATAAGTCGGGTCATATTTTATCAATTTATGTTTTAGTAAGGAGCCATGCATACATAGGGCAATTGAAAATTTTCCTCCCAGTTTGTCAAATGATCTGTGCTCCTAATGGGAAAGGAAGTACACATTTGTAAAATTTACTCTCTTGCACTTAATTACAGATTTGAAAAAAGAAATAGAGACGTGGGGCTGGTCTGAAAAAAATGAAAAATATTGGAGACAGCTAGTGGTATTATCGCTAGACTATTAATCCAGAGACCCAGGTAATGTTCTGGGGATCTGGGTTCAAATACCGCAACGGCAGATTCTGGAATTTGAATTCAATAATAATCTGGAATTAAGAGTCTAATGATGACCATGAAACCATTGCCGATTGTCAGGAAAACACCCATCTGGTTCACTAATGTCCTGTGGGGAAGGAAATCCGCCATCCTTACCTGGTCTGGCCTACATGTGACACCAGACCCACAGCGATGTGGTTGGCTCTTAACTGCCATCTGGGTAATTAGGGATGAGCCAGCGATGCCCACATCCCATGAATAAATTTAAAAAATTAATCTTTTGCATAGTTTACAGCTTTCCAAAGAAGGATCAATGGCTTTACACAAAAGCATTAAAACTCAATTACCTCAAATAAGACAGATAGAACTTTGAGACTGCCTTGTCCTTGCACCGCCTCCTCAAAGCTTTCAAAAAGATTTGACTCAAAGCAGAAGATCTGCATCTGAAAACATTTTGACAAAACAATTACTGTTCTCATCTTTACGTGTGTAGAATAAACGTTCGTTACACTTTCATGGAGTAAAAGATACAAGATACATCTATTTTGTTTCAATTTATGTACAATTATGCAACATCCCCATCATTCCTAGAAAAATACCCTTCTGACATTTACAGAAATTTAAAATATAAACTAAAACATTGCGTGCATATCAGACACACTGTGAATCAGAAGAATATCTTACTGAATTGGGGACCTGGATTAGAATTTAGCTCACATCAGAGCAATAATGTAAAATTTTCTTTTCGGTCTGCTGGCTGTAAGGCTCCAAAATAACATGGAAATGGGAAATTCAAAACAGATTCTCAGAAAGCACCAGCCTACAGTAGATAGAAACAAAAAAATTGCAAATGCTGGAATCCAAGGTAGACAAACAGGAGGCTGGAAGAACACAGCAGGCCAGGCAGCATCTGGAGGAAAGGAGCAGTCAACGTTTCAGGTATTACCCTTCTTCAACAGTAGATAACTAGCTCTATTTGCGCCACCAAATAATGAAAGCCTGAAATCAAAATGATGGTATTGTGAAAATATTCCCTAAAAATGCTAATTAAACAAAATCATAAAATTTGTTTCAACATTCGGCTTTGAGAAATCAGGAGAATCATTCCAGCTCATATATAAAGAAAGATTGAATTTCAAATCTCTTTTGGAATTGAAATTGTCAAAATGGAGTTTAGAAAAATTAATTTTGTCGGAAATCAGAACAAATTTGCATGTGTTCAATAAAAATAAATGACATTCAATTCATTGCCTTCTGAATGTTCCCTATTGCTAATAAATTGAGCCCAATGAAACTGTATTCCATTTTTGTTGAATCAGCCAAATGGCTTTCTCACACACTGGCAATCAGGATTGTATTTAGTTTTGCAGAAAAAAAAGGAATGAACTTTCTGCAGACATTACATCTTAGATCGAGACCAGAATTATCTGTTGTCCATTGAAATCAATTTTCCCATCAGAAAAAGATTGATCAGGACGAAGGGCTCTTAAATACACCAGAGGCAGCCTATGTGAATTATAAGAAATGTACATACAAGGCTGGAATACAGAAATAGGAAGGCTACCACAATTAATAGACTGAACAAATCTATGTTGCTAAACTGAAGTGAGCACAAAAACTGTAAAATGTAGGTCTGAATTTTTCCATTTTTTTTGGACTAGGTGTCATTTATGGAGAGTTCCATGAAAGATTTTCCACCATGCCTCGCGGCAACTTTCCTCATGCAATCTTCTGCTGCTCAACTCATTAATTATGGATCCAGGCTCCACAGCACTATTCTCTTTCAATTGTGTGACAGCAGAGGCATTTAGACTGCAGGTCCATATTTATACCCCAGCATCCGCTTCAAATGTTGCAAGTCAGGAACTCTGTTCGTCGATTTCATCACAGAGAGACCTGGCTAAGAAAGTCAGGCCAGCACCCTGCTTCACCCAACAGAGGAGGTGAATGGAGTGGTAGGGAAAGGAAGTTGTGGCAGTAGGTACTCCTAATCTGGACAAAGATAGCCGGCTGTGTCAGTGCAGTGTCCTGGCAATAAGAAGCAGCCAGCAATGTTGAAAGAAGGTCAATGACTTCCTGCGTTCCCATGATCACTAACTCTGCCATTGCACACACACCTCCCATCAAGATTAATGGTCTACCGATCTGTTGTGTGTAGCATCTTCACTCAATGGCTCTCACCCAACTCATCCTCACAATCTAATAACCCCTACTCTCTGTCTTCCTATCCACGGCTGGCAGCAGTTCACCACCATCATCCCTGACCCGGCATCATCACAAACAGCCCTTCAAGCCACTTTCATCTCACTATTTCGTCCTTTTGTCTCATTGCAGGAGGAAGCGTCACATGACAGGGTGGTGATAGCAAGGATGGGTTGGTAAAGGTGGATGACATTTGTGTCCTCACCCTAAATAAGGACACAATCCTCAAACTGGTTGGAGAGGATTGAAACACTCACATGGAGATCTGACACCTGCAGGTCGAGACCACCAAGTAAGCTTTGTTGTGCTGTGCCATTCTGCACATTCATTACCACCACTGAATGTATACTAAAGATGCACAACTTCAACACTGTTGCAGAACTAATGGCCTCTCAAGCATCTACCAGCGGCACCCACACTGCCTCCACCCCAAACAGCCAGCCCCTCAGCTCTTGCAGTGAGGAAGAAGCAAAGCTTTTACCTCCACCCTCCATCAGCTCACAGACTCTCACCTCAGTAGGTGCTCTTTCTAGATTAGATGCAGGAATGTATTCTGGTGAATACATCACTGGTACTTCTCCACAACTGGGCAAAGATGAAATAGCCCAGAGATACTAGGCCCTCTACCTCCCTTCTGCTTGTGAACTTCAAACCCTGTGGAACGTGTAGGTGAAGAGGCTGAGCCTGCCTCTGGGCAGCACACTCTCTGAACACTCTCTCTGAATGCTCCAGCCACAAAAGGCCCTGATATCATGTGCCCAAATCATCCAGACAAACAGACCTCACTACAGAGCAGTCTCCACTCCTATCCAGACTGCAAACCTGGGACTGTGCATAGACATTGTGTGAGGGCATGGTACATAGGTGGCACAGATTACATACTTCATTGTTAAAACCAATCTCACATACACACTTTAAACCATCACATGTCTAATTGACTTTTTAGCTGTACAGTCATGTTACACACTACAATGTCAGAGCTGAGCAGCCTCTTCATGCATCTCAAGGACTACAGACCTTAGAGTGGTAAGTATTGCTCATTTCAGAGAAACATCCTGTATAGCAGCTGATTTCTGGCATTCTTCAACCCTTGAGTGTTGATGAGTACGGCCAGGTCTTACCACCTTAGTGAGGAGATCATCAAGTCCAAAGTTAACATGAATAGAAAGTAAACTATCCCAAATAGACTGGCACCAGCAGTTGACTGAAGTTAAATTTGCCCATTGGCTATAATGCACTTTGGGCTAGCCCTAAGGGTGTGGTATGGTCTCCTTACCTAGGGAATGATGAAATAGATTTTTGGAGTTCGGAAGCTTTATGGATCTATTAGAACGGAGTCCATGACCTTATCCCAGAATTCCCAGCCCCATTCATGATGCCCCTGTTTTATCAGGATAGGGTGGGGGTTGTAGGCATGCACTCTGCATTGGCAGCAACTGTGGAGGAGAAAACGGAGTTAACGTTTCGGGTCCGGTGACCCTTCCTCAGAACTAGGAAGGGTCACCAGACCCGAAACGTTAACTCTGTTTTCTGCTCCACAGATGCTACCAGACCTGCTGAGCTTTTCCAGCAACTTTGTTTTTATTCCTGATTTACAGCATCCGCAGTTCTTTTGGTTTTTATGCACTCTGCACTCTCATCCCTACATTGCAGGGATAACATCTCTTAGCTTTTTGTAACTTTCATGAAGTCCTAGAATTTCTACAGTGTAGAAACAGGCCATTTGACCCATTGAGTCCATACTGCCCCTCCGAAGAGCATCCCACCCAGACCCACCTCCTCTCCCTACTCTATCTTTGTAACATTGCATTTCCCATGGCGAGACCACCTCGACTGCACATCCCTGGACACTATGGGCAATTTAGCATGGCCAATCCACCTAACCTGCACTCTTTGGATTGTAGGAGGAAACTGGAGCACCCGGAGGAAACCCACTCAGAGACAGGGAGAATGTGCAAACTCCACGCAGACACAGTCACCTGAGGCTGGAATCAAACCCAGGTCCATGGTGCTGTGAGGCAGCAGTGCTTACCACTGAGCCATCATCAAGTCAAGCCAACTTTTCAAAAAGTTGTGGTTCACAGTCTCTCAAAAGTTGTGTACCATAGTTTAGATCATGGAGCCTTTTGATAGGCAAGTTCTATAAGTATTACGCATGCTTACAGTGCAAAGGTACGTTCTTTCATCATGCCCCATGGCCCCCCATATCCTACATACCTAGCAATGGAATTTCCACACCCTGGAAAAAGTCCCAACTTGAGTTTCTACTTTTTCTGAAGAAGGGTCACTGGACCTGAAATGTCAACTCTGCCTTCTCTCCACTGATACTGCCAGACCTGCTGTGTTTCTCCAACAATTTTTGTTTTTCCTTCAGATCCTCAGCATCCACAGTTCTTTGTTTTATTTTCATGTCTGCTTTTACCTGTGATCATACACAGTTTGAAGTTTCCTTCTTTCTTTTCTTTCAAAAAAGTGCAATGTGGATCTGTTGAGTCTTGAGCTTTCAAGCCTCAAGTAGAGTCTAGAGCAGTTTTCATCATAAAATCAATGTGTTGGTACCTTTGTATATTAAATATATAAATTCAGGTTAAATATTAAAAATAAAAGCAAATCACCTCCAACGGAAATTTTTGTCCATCTATTTTATGTTCTGATCCATCTGTTGCATTACACTTGCCCCAGTGGAACATTATCTTGCCTGCTTTATACCTGGACTTCATGCCACCACCACTGATGTAATATTCATCTGTCAAATTCATTTCCACTGAAGATGGAGAATAAAAGGTTTTGACGTTAGTTATCCTGTTGTAAATATAATGGACGAGTTATTAAAACAGACATCAGAGGAATAATGTTTGTAGAATGAATTTCAGCAATAAGGCATCCAAAGTAAGTGGAGAAAAAGAAAGCAGTAAAGGCACCTTAATTCTATTTAAACAGTAACAGACTAGTCCCAAATATAGGGGAAGATACCTTGAAATGTAGCTATGATATTTTATATGGAAATAAGACAATGAGAGAATACCTGTTTTCCCATTGTTGTGAATGACTGTATTTCCACTGGATTTACGTTCCCAGCCTTCAAACAGTAGTTTTCGGAAATTCATGTTGACTTGAGTAAAACCATCTTCTATATTGATGGGGGATTGTTTAGGACCGGAGCAAATTGGATATTTCTTCACCCAGTTATTCTGATTTAAGTGACCTGAAGAAAAGCATCAAAATATCAACACATTGCTGAATGATTTTGGTAAAGCTAATGTAAAATACTGTATTGTAATTTCAAAGCGCTGACCCTGTTTTGAAGGTTCTAAAACATTACCTAGTTACAGAAAGATAATCCACAATAAATGTAGATGGTATTAAGTGCTAACTAATGAGGTTATAATGCAATCAAAGCATTCTAATTACTTCAGGTATCAGGTAGTTATCCACGACTCAGAATCACAACAATTACCCCAGGCATTGTTTCCTTTAAGTAATCTTGAAACTAAGGTCATCATATTTAGAAGACGTGAAAATTGGATTAGACACTTCTTTTACAACCCATTGGATACAACTTTCCACCGATAAATTACTAGGCGAGTGGGCTAGATTAAAATGACCTCTGCTTGTAGATTATTGTGTTTTTGATACCAAATGGTGCATTATAACACTTCACAGGCCTCAATTTGTGAGGAAAAGTTGATTAAGTCTGGATTGCGAATGAAGCCTATTGCTACTGCGTAGAACTACTGCAGCAGTGGAGATTTAGATTAAAGGTAAGGACAACGATCTAGACAATACTTTTTTCAAATCATTCACAACATATGGACATCACTGGCAAAGTCAGTATTTATTGTCCATCCCTAAATGCCCGTGAGATAGTGGTGGTGAGCCACTTTCCTGAACCACTATAGTCCATTTGGTGTAGGCACAACCACACACAGCACTGGTAGGGACAGAGTTCCAGGATTTTGTACTGAGTTTTACATATCTCAAACCTGGCAAATCTGGTTTCAGTCTACCATTGCCAGTTGGTATGATTATGCTTATAGGGTCAGACTCTGCTAGAGCTTGAAAGGCAGACAGATAGAGATATGCTAGAATCTATCATGAAATAGAAACAATATATCAGTCACAACTTAGGGCTAGTTACAAGGTTGGATTTGCTTGTTGTTTACCTGGGGGTATATATGAAACACGTGGCTATGTCAGTACTCTGGGCTTGGTTGGAGGTGGCATAAAGACACACAACAACCCTTGGCAATGAATGTTGGAATGAACAATTTTAATAGGCCCTTACACAACTGAATGAGACTATCAGGTGTTCAATGGAATGATGTTCAGATGGCGAATACAAAGCTAGTATTGTCACAATAAATTTTTATATCATTCTAGGGAAAATAAATAGTTGGTTAACTACACTGGAGTGCCCATGACACAACTGAAATAGTCTGCTCTTTCTTTCTAAATTGCAGGGCTAATGGTGTTGTGGATAGATTTGCAGTTATATGAAATACAAAACTGTGTCCCATGGTTGGGTACTTGTTTATATGTGAGTTGTTATTAGTTCAGGTACAAGGAATGCACACTGTAAGTAACTATCTTTCAGCGTCTTGATTATGTGACCCAAGATTAGCTTTCCTGCTTTTCAAATTCTGCCACTTCAAAAGACAAAACGAAGTGGATTGGCATACAGTTTCCATCACTCAGGCCATGGGGCTCAAGATCAGCCTAAAATATATCAAAGATGGTTTATTAGAATCCCTACAGTGTGGTAACAGGTACACACCAATCCTCCAAAGAATATCCCACTCGGGTCCATCCCCCTATCCTTGTAAACCTGCATTTCCCATGACTAATGCCCCTAACCTACACACCCCTAGATACTATGGGCAATTTAACATGGCCAATCCACCTAACCTGCACATCTTTGAACTGTGGGAGGAAACCAGAGCACCCAGCAGAAACCTATACAGACATGGGGAGAATGTGCAAATTTCACACAAGACAGTCAGCTGAGGGTGGAATCAAACCCGGGTCCCTGACGCTGTGAGGCAGCAGTGCTAACCACTGAGCCACTGCGCTGCCCTTTGAGTTTGGATTTTTTTTCACAAAGGTCAATTGATGCTAGATCAACTGTTAATTTAAAAAAAAGACTGATAGATACTTATAAAGCAAATATAGTCCTTTTAGTAGAAGTTAGGCACAGTGTACTTGGATGTAGAGTACTTCATATCCACGTGGCATCACTATGTAAACCCTCCTCCAATACCATATAAAGATGGCAACCACACTGAACCCTGATTTTTAATCTTTTCCTTAGATTACCAATCTTGAGAGATTAAGGAATACTGACAGAAAGTGACAGATTTGTAATACAGCACAGCGATAAGGATTGTCAAGAGGAAAATGTCAAATACTGCAAACCTGAAATAAAAAGCAGAAAGTGCAGGTAATGCACAACAGCTCAATCTGCATTGGAAAATAAGGGAGGAACAAACAGGGTCAGATGTAAACTTTTAACAAACTCAGCATTTCCTATTTTATTTCACAAGTTCCCGGCTGCATTGCCTTGAGTATATATTGCAGCGTGCATAGCCTGGAGTCAAATTCCAGACATTCAACGAGGCCACAGTAGCAATATATTTCAAATAGAAGATTTAACTGCTGCTTTTTTCAAAAGTTTTGCTTTGACCTGGAATGAGAACCTATAGGTAAATCAAATTCTACCCAGAGTTAGGTAGTATTGATGCAGCATCCAAGTAAATGATCAGTTACTTGCACTTACGGACAGTTACTGCTGGGAAATAATCAATACAGGTATTTGTGTTGTCCCACACATGTACTAGCAAACTTTTCGAAAACTACAAACTATTTGATACACCAACTCAGGCTGTGTTCAGAAAACAAGACAGATCAAATCTGTTCAGCAGTTAAGCAAATTATAGGCTAGTAATAGTTCATGTTTATTTTTCTACCTACAGGATAGAATTTTTTTTAAAGAAACCTGTTTAGCAGCAAAGATTGAGGTTTATTCAAAGAATCTTGTTAGTAAGCTATATACTCTGGTTCCCTTGTTTGAGAAGCTAACTGAAGTAAACATGCCTTATTCCTTTAATTCATTTATTTTAACCAAATAATTTCATTCAGGTAAAAACCTGTAAAGCTGAAATTGCCTATGTTACAGACTTCCGTGACAGTTATAAGAACTTTCCCAAAGAGCTCAATGAGAATCCTGAAACTCATTATTTTGGTCCCAGAAAATTTGTAAAAATTAAAATTGGAGAAGAGATGAGATTTAAGAATTTTAAACTGGAGTTACGTGGTTTCTGAAAGTGGTGTTCTTTTACTTGTAGCAAGAGATTATCATAGATTGGATGCTAGTACTATTACCCAAGAGCAGACTATATCCAGTCACTAAGTGCAGATAGTATGCAAGTTCCTAGAATTTAAGGATTTACTTGTGATATGCTTCTAGTAGCAAGTATATGTTTTAAGAAAAGGCTGGAAATCATAAAAAAGGTGGCCACATGAATGAAGTAACTTTACCATTATTCATATAGCATAAAAAATACATTTTTGAAGACACTTTTTCTAAATTACCAGTGAAGTTGTATTAATGCTGCAATGATTGAATAGTTACAGCATCAAAGGAGGCCTGTTTACCTGTCATGTCCATGTTGGCCCACTGCAAGAGCAAATCAACTAGTCTCACTCCTCCATCTTTTCCTGAAGCCCTACAGATTGTCTTTCCCTTCAGGTGTTCATCCAATTCCCTCTTGAAAGCCTTGATTGCATATGACTCTGCTAAACTAGTGTTTTACTTAGTAAAACTAATTCTAATACTCCTCCTGTTGACAATCCTGGTTAGCAACAAAGCAGCAAAGTGCAAATGTGCACTAACACCCAGTTGTAGCTGGTCTCCATTTCAGTGTAAAACACAGAGAAGGTGGTTTGCCATCTATTGTGTAGACTAGAAATTGGAACAGGTTAGAATGAGATTGACCAAAGTGGAGGAACTGCCTTCTGATTTAACTACACATAAATCTTAACCTTATTTTTGTAATACTGCACTCATGAAGAAGAAGAGAAAATGAATTAAAGTCTCAAGTGTATGTTGTTCAATCACATTGCATATTATGGGAAAAAAGTACCAAGATGAATCCTTCATCCTAATAGATTGGATTACAGTAACTAAAGTCATAGCAGCAAACAGATCTTCCTGTCACAAATTGTGGACTTCCAGTTACAACATGAAAATAGGGAAACAAAGCAAACAAAATATAATTGCCTTCCTACCCAGTATTCTATATTTCTGTGACAGCTCAACTCAGTTACATCATACTCTCCCACCTCACTGTTTAATAACTGGGTTTTTGCACTGCAACATAAACGTCAAATTGCCAGCCAGTAAAATGCAGACTTTATAGAGAAGAACAAGTAATCATGCTAAGCTGATCAACGCCCACATCCCAGGGGATAATTACAATAATTTTACTCTGCATTTTATTTCAATACAAACACATAAGACACAAAGCTATTTATTTGGCGATTATAAAATGGGATGTGAGTCATCTATTATCTTTAAAAGGATAAAAAGAAAATCACAAAAATGATGGATTAAAATGGAATACTGCTACAAGAGGCAGATTATTATAATGTTAGTTTGAGCAAACTACTTACTTCACAGTGCTATATACCTACTTGTACAATCATCAGACCCACAACTGCAACAGTGAAACTACCTTTACCATCTATACCAGATTCGAAAGGCAGAAATTATTACGAGATTAGCCCAATTTGGTTTTAACTTGTTTCTAAAGGTTCACACTAATATTAAGGTGAATTATACTTAGCAACCATTTGCATCAATCAACATTATATTCACATAATAATAAACAGAAAGATCACACTGTGCTTTCCTGAATCATTTGGTCATCTTATTTGGCCTCACAATGAAACTTCTCCACCCTCTCCCACAGAATCTTCCCGCAGTCCCATTTCAGACAGATGAGGAAATGTTTGCTTTCCCCCCCTCTCAGAGGGTTGACAGTTTTTGGCAATCTCTACCTCAAATGGCAGAGGATGCAAAACCTTTTAAATTTTTTTCACAACAAAGTTAAACAGATTCATGATTACCAAGGGAATGAAAGATTATTGGGGTTATGTAGGAATGTAGAGTGGAGGTTGAAATCAGATCAGCCATGATCTTATTGAGTG